AGTGGAAGGAGGGATTTGTTTGGATCGCTCGCTCTTGTGGGTGTCGGTGGAGTGACGGTTGCCTTTGATGGGGGTTGCACGATATTTAATGATAGCGATGGGGCACCGAGTGGGCTTTCTCATGCGGATATTGTGGCGGGTTCCATCTTTTTTGCGTGGAATTTGTTGTCTTTTTTGGTGAGTTTAATAATGGCTGGAATACACACATCGTGTTGAGCACAGCGAATATAAAGGGTGGTGTAGGCTCCGCGTTCAATCCCACGACAATTGAGAGCGGCAATAGGGCGTTTCTTCGTGCGGGAAGCTAGCAAAAGTTTGGTACGAATGGTGGGTCCAATTGGGCGTTGAGAGACCGTGATGTTTAACTGGTTGTGGGTGAATTCACGCAGCCCAATGACGGCAGACGGAGCGAGCTGATCCACTGGTGTGAACCCAAATTGCTGTGATCACAGATCATTCCCGAGACTCACGAACGCGGCGCGAATGGATTGAAGTTTTTTGGCGGCTCAGGTGTTTTGGTGAATGGCACGCTTGTGTCTCCGTGATTGCGTATAATGACGAAAAAGACGATTTCTCCATGATCATCTGTTCGACGGACGGCGGCAGCAGCTGAGTGCTTTCAAGGGGCATTTTTCCTGCGGACTGCATTGACCTTCTCATTGCCGAGTGGGAACAGGGACAACTTCTCGTGATTACTCATTGCTATGGGAGCCGGTACTGCAGAGTGCACGAGTCACGTGACAAGGGGACAATGTGGGTGGAATTACCCGGGGCAATTGCGGGCGTTTGGGCCAATTCACAATCGGGTCGTTGGGACATGAGCTTGCGTGTGGGAGCCATTGTCACTGCGACCGTTGGAGGAAAGAGCGTCATGCTGTAGGCTCGGAAAGTGAGCTCCCCGTGGTGGGAGAGTGAGGCCCATGTGCGCTCTACGTTTGGGTGACTGACAGCAACCGCGTGTTTTGTGTTGGACCGGCTTCTATGGACGCTGCTGTGAATAAGCCGATTGCCAACGCCCTGCTGTACTCGGATGGTGCGTTGCACCTTGTGGGAGCGAGGCACAATGAAGAGAAAAGCAGCCTGTTTCCTGCCTTCCCTGACGGAGGAGCTGCAGATGATCACTTCCATCCTCCGCAATTGGGCGGACGTGGACGCTTCCTTCTCCGCGTCGCCCGTAAGTACGGTGGGTCTGGTTGGATATCTGCCCAACGCAGGCACTGCCAACACGTGTAACGACGAGTGCCGTTGCGTGATTGCAACGGTGACGAATGGCAAGAATGTCACAAATGGGCCTCAATTCACGGGGCAACATTGCCCCGTGAACCGTTGGGAGGATAATAATCACTGTGGCTTTGTGAATTACGACTTCGCTCTTGTGGCGACGGTGGCTATTCGCGAGACACACGCAGGCGTCAAGAGTATCCCTTTGATTGGCGTGAAGGAAGCAGGTTGCACTGCGCACTCTGGACTGTCGCACAGCCATGAAAGGAGTTGGGGATGTTCAACGCAAACAAACACACCGGCTTTTGGGAGTTGAACAAACAATAACGAGTGGAGCTCACGCTGCAGGACCGGCAACAAGGCCTTCGTATAGATCAATGGTGAATGTGTGTGTGTGGGATGCTGAAACGACATCATCGGGAAAGGGGCCACGCGCGAATTCACACTTTTACATTGGAGGGTATGGAAGCAGTGCAAGCGACACCGGGAGCCAAAACAAGTATGTGACAGTGACGAGTGCCTTCTTGTGCAACCGCATATTGACCAGGGAAGAAGCCGAAAAAGTTGGTGCCAGCAACCTTGCTCTTCCAGAGTCTCTTTCTGGGAAAATGCTTGAAGGGCCGGATGATCCAGCGGGAACTGGCAGTGGCTCCAAGGATGGAAACGCCTCTCAGCTCACGAACAACACTTTGTTGGAGAAGGGCTCTAGTGGCTACGGCACGGTGCGTGTGTGTGTGTGCCTCGGATCTTGTTGCTCCTCTTACTGGGGCTGTGGGCATTGCAGCTCTCGGCTGTGTGAGACGGTGGGAGTGGAGCCGCGGCTCTCCGTGGAAAAGAGTGTGCAGCTCCTCAGGAAGACTCAATGCACTCCGTTTAGGATTTTTTAAAATCCCTTTTGTTTTCACCTCCGGATATAATGTGCTGCTGGTGCTTTGTTGGAGGGATCAGAACCCCTGCCTTTTTATTATTTTTTAAATTTATTTTTCGTTTGCCGCTAGCTGCACACTCTCATGAGTGACGTGTTTCCCCCTGTTTTATTTGCTTTTGTTGCACCGCACGCGGTGCCGGCCTCATTGCTGTGCGTCCCGCGGACTGTACAAAACGAGGGGTGGAGGAAGAGGCCGAGTGCCTCATGAAATGTGAGGGATTTCGTGTGGACACGTGGAACACTGCGATCTTTTTTTCTCCTCTGTAAGAAACATATGGAGATGCACAATCCCTGCTGCACTGAGGGATACATAAAATGAAAGTCCACTGAGGCGATTTCCTTTTTTTTCTTTATTATAATTAATTAATTATTTATTTCTGCTGAACCTACGCCTTTTTTCTTGGTTTTCTGTATTTGGCAATTTGCTGCGGCTTGTTTTATTATTTGCTGTGTTGAATGCCACTATGTGTCTTTGTGTCCCATTGGGTGTCCCACTGCTAGCTGTGCAGTTGACACACCCTCATCACTTTTTCTTTTCTGCTAGAGGCATCGATAGTCCGCGACGACGATTGTTTGTGTTCCCCATTGCGATGGTACGAGGGTGACTGGGCGCCCTGATGAGTGCACTCGGAAGGGAGCGGATGGTGTGCGCCGTGCCTCACTGTGAGTGTGGGACGCCACCGCCACGACCTGCTGTGAGGCGTAACGCTATTCCTTCGGGGCAGGGGTAAGTAAAGGACTGTGGTGGACTTGGATGCGCCTCGTTCCTCTTGTAGCGGCCGTGGGTGTGCTGTTCGCATTGCTGTTTTGCGGTACGATGTGGATGGCGGTGCTTCTACGTGTGCCTTCTTGAATGCACTGTGCGGCGGGCTTCTCTTCTCCATGTCCTTGCCTTTGCCCTTTTGTGAGTGGGGGTGAGTGTGGGTGGCTGTCGACCTGCCCCGAGCATTGGGGCCCTTCACACACGTGTGGCTCATCTTGGCAGCCTCTCGCAGCGTCCATGCCTCGTGACAGGGAGCGAGGGAAGAGTGGCGTGTTTCCTCCTACTATAGACCTATCAACTTTTGAGGAGTTGGAGTGAAAATAAGGGGACAAGCGTGTGTGTCTTCACCTTCTTGCGGGAGGACGCGCAGAGGTTGTTTTTCTTTTGTTTGTTTTGTTACTGTGTCTGTGTTGACGTCATTTGTTTTTTTTCTCCAGAGGCATTCATTGTGCGATTTGTGCGTGTTTGGTTTCCAGCTTTTTCAGCACCGCCAAATGGAGTGTTGCGCAGGATTGGAATAAAAGGATGCGCGAGAGCATCGCATCGCTTGCCCGTAATAATACACACACACACAGTTTCATCGCGTCTGATACGTCACGTTTTTCAGAACGGTCGAAATTGCTTGTGGGACGTCACTTCATTTGCGGCGTCGGGAAAGTGAAGTAAAGGGAGAGATATGCCGAGAACGTAATGCTCCTCCATAAGACCGCGGGCTGGCGGCGACAATGATCAGAGAGCCTCTACTCAACATTGAGAAGAGGGCAGCGCTCCGGTGATCCGGTTTGCTCGTTAGGAACCTCTAATGTAGTGTACACCGTGTGGGCCTTTTTGCTGCGGATATGCAGAGGGGTGATGTGGGGTGGAATTATTGTTGAAGGCAGCACGGACGCCGCCTGACCTTTATTGGAGGGATGCGTGCTGTTATTCCGTGCTTTCTGGCCTGCGTTGTCGCACTCATGCTTTGAGTGCGGATGGCCACAGTAGTGGAGCTGAATATGGTTCAATGTGTGTTGCTCACGGGGACTGCGCGACACATGTTTTTTGTTGGGCTTCCCAAAGGAGGGGCGCATCGCCGTTGCGTAATTCCCGCGGCAGTCCATTACTCTGCAACTGTGCGTGCCGCCGTCCGCTGCGCCACTGCAAGCCTTCGCCTTTGTGTGAAATGGGGAGCGTGACTGCTGTGGCGGTGGTCGAATGTTTCCGAATTGGTGCTTTTGGTGACCCCACTTGGAGCGCCGAGCAGCGAGGGGCTGCACACGCCCAGGAGGTGGGAGTGTCAGCTGCAACCGCACCTGCGATTTGTAGTTGGGATGTGACATGTTTCTTTGGTATTTTTATTTTTGGTGATATGCGGGGCAGCGGTGTGTTGGCGTGTGCGGGCTGCTCATGGCTGCCGGTGTTGTCTTTCCTGCTGTTCTCCCGCTCCACTCCTTTGCGTGCGACGGACCAAACGTTCTTACGGGCGTGTGGTGGGGTCGCGTTCTTGTTTGGAAAAAAAGCCTTTCGCAGGCATAATAATACTGCGGTCTGTGCCACACGAGGCAGCGGGGTATTTCCTGGGATTTATTGGCGGGGTGGCACCGCACCCATGCGGTGTGGTAGATTTGTATTCCACAATGCACGGTGAGGGGGATGTGCGGTGACAACTTCCTCCAGTGGAGCGGCACGAGCAGCACGGGGAGCGAAACGGAGGAGTGGTGGCTGCGTGCTTCCAATTGATACGTGAATGGCGAGTGCAGTATGAAGGGCAGCGTCACGGCACTCTTTTGCCGTGCACACCGCAGTCATTTTCCATAAAGCATGCAAATTGCACTCTTTTCTGTTGTGTGTGGGATTACCGTGATGCATCGCTGTTGTGGTGTGTATGATTTGTGGTCCCTGCATGTGGCCGCTGCTGCACCGAATTCTCCTCCCACTTTTGTGTGTTTGTGTCAGTGGCGATGTGTCCCTGTCCTCTCGCAGAGTGTGTGAGGGATGACGGCGGTGCCACACGGGTGCGGGACCGTGGCGAGCGGAATGCGTGGACGAACCCTCCGCGCCCACCACGTTGTTATTGTTGTTGTTTCTCACCAACACTGTGCTGGGTGAATGGCACCCGCGCGCCGTCGTTGCGGTGGTCCTCTTGTATCGAGTACAGTGCCGTCACACCGCGCGTATGGCACTCTTGTTGTGGCTGCCAGTCATTTCTGTGACTATTTTCTTTTTTATTCCTTTCTCGTTTGTCGGTCAGTATTCAGCTTTAACTCAATCCAACCAAGAAAACAAGGAGAAACAATGCCTCCAAAGCAAAATAGAGTGCAAGGTGGCAATGTGGAGACTCAAGCGTCTGCCGTGCCGCAGGGAGATCGTCAGAGGAGAGCGAGGCAGGACTTTGAGGGTGAGAGAGATCAACCCGCTGCGACACACATAAGAGCGGAGTCGCAGCAACCAAAGTGGACCATGAGCAGCAGCGTAGAGGACATTCTGCTGGAGGGAAGCACTAACAGGAACAACATGAAATTGAATGATTTCCTTCGGAGCAACTTGGGCGAGGAGTGGGTCGTGGACCCCAATGAGAACGTCGCTATGGAGGCGTTTTTGTTGAGACCCACGATGTTTATCCAAAACAAAGGGTTATTACGCACAATAACGGCATTGCCGTCATACAGAGAGCTGGAAAGAGAGCTGAAAAGAGAGCTGGATGAGAGGAAAATACTATTGGGGGCTATTTATAAGCTTCTTCACGAGGGTGTGTACTCTCTCGAGCAATGGAGGGACTATGAAGGAAAGGATACGGTCACTCCTGTTGCAAGGAGAAAACTAAACGCAGCTCTTTCTCAGGTGCTGACAGAAGAAAGGCGTAAGGCGGAAGAAAGGGCAAGCCGACGGCAAAAATTAGAATTGACCGTTACCACCACGATCGAAGATGTGCTATTTAGAGGAAGAGTTCGCGTCATGGACATACAATTGAATGATTTTCTTGTGATGGAGTTGGACGGCAGAGGCATTTTGCGCGCCAATCGGAATGTCTTGCTGAAGGAGTTTGTAAAGGATTCTACGAGGTATATTTGCTGTGCGTTTTTACTGCTCGAAATAAAGGCATCCGATCGTTACAAGAGGATGGAGAGGGCTGTGAGGGATGAAATGGATATGGAAGAGGATGTAAACAAGCTTTACGAGAATGACGTGGACAATCTACTGAATTGGTCATTAGCTGCCGAGGAGGTAAAAGCAAATGTTCATAACCTCACTAAACATTTCTTGGATGCAGCCTTCATTGAATTGATGAGCTCAATGACGATGAGTGCGCCGATGAAACTGGAGGGATGCTACGAGTCTGTGTACAATGCGAGGTGGCACCATGTCGTGGAGGTTCCTGACGACAACGGAATGTATGTGAGGGAGGGGGAGCCACCGCAGTCATGGAAGTACAAGAAAGTTGACGACACCCTCGAAAAGGATGACGGTGTGGAGGAACCCGGTGCACTACGTCTTAGGCTGATGGTGCTCACTTCGGACAGGGGATGGCCGTACTCGTGGAAGGAGGAGGACTCCACTCATGACTGCCATGTGAACTGTGAGGTGGAGCGAGCGTGGCGGATCGTCAGGAATGATCTAACCGAATGGTTCAGTCCTCACCGTGAGACCTACTTTACGCCCAAGCAGCGTCTGTTGATTGGGACGCCCGGGATCGGGAAGTCGGTGAATGCCGGCTCGTACTTCCTCTACCAGCTGCTGCACTACGATGCGGAGCAGCTCCCAATGGTTGCGTACGTTATTGGGAGTCAATCATTCCTGTTTGACAAGACCACCAAAACGGTATCAACATACAGGGATAACCCCAGGATTGAGGATGTTGTAAACATTTTTTTTTTCCGTGGGGTTAAAGGGTATTGTATCTACGATGCGACATTGGCATGTCGTCAACCGTCTGCTGGTTTGCCTTGCAAGGGATGGGGCATGATTGTGGTGACACCACCAGACAAAAACGAATATGAACGGTGGACAAAAAAAATGGACGCTACTGCAATCGTAACGAATTGTCCCGAAGAAAACGATGTGAGGGCAATGTGCATTTGGATGAAGCGCAATCGACCCCTGCAGGAGCAAGCGGAATACTGGAAGGAGGTGAGGGGTCGCATGAATAACGTGGGACCAATTCTCCGCTTCATCTTTGATAAACAGGCATATGATGACCGCATTAAAGCGTGTCAGCAAGCCGTGGATGGGTCGACCGCTTCGGAATTAGAGCGTAATTTGGGTATTGGCTGTTGTTACTCGTCCAATGGCAGTGACTTGTCTCGAAAGCTTGTGAAGGTTGTCCGAGTACGACGAGGAAACAACATTGAATCGCCTCTGAATTTGCTGGTATCTCCCCACCTTGAACGTGAAACTTTGTCCAGGTTGGAGAATGAAATGAAGCAGTCCGATTTTATTTTTTTCGTTTTGAGGTTCTGGGATTATGTCCCACCATATCTTATTGAAAAGTATGCCGTATCCGCATTTTTGAATGAGGATTTCCTGCGTGCGATAAGACTTAAAATCAGAGAACTGAGGCCACCAGGACGACGTGAGCCACACAGCTGTGCGCTGAAAGAGCACTCAGATAAGAGCTTCACCAGAAAAGAGGTTCTACCGCCACCGGAACGTCTTTCCAATCCGGTTGCTATGGACCACTGGGTGCTGTATGAACCGAAGGTCCAACACTTTCCGCTGGTGGACGGCTTTTTCTTTGTGGACTCAAATCCAATGACGCTGGTGGGGCTGCGGATGACTACGGCGGGTGAGCACCGCACCACCTCCAGCACTGTGAGGCAGTTCACTGAGTGCCTGGCGGCATATTTTAATGGTTGGGAGGAGTTATCCCGAGACATGTCGTGGGAGATTATTTATGTGCAGCACGCAGACAGCACGCCGATGAATGACTGGCGGAGATGTGATGTCGTCGATTCCGATAGTGTGAGCCGCGCTGAAAACCGTGAGATTGCGGCGTTCTGGGAGGAAGAGGTGCGCCAGTACATAGCAGCAGTATCATCCGGAGACTTTTGAAGAGAAGAAGCTCTCCGGAGGTGAGGAAAAACGAAATAGGAGAAAGAATTAGGGGATGAAAGGGGTAGTTTTTGATTTGTGGTAAAGAAATATTGTGGGAGTTATATATTTTTGGATACTTTTTTGTGTGCATACGGTGCGGGTGCACCAGCCCCATGCGGCAGCACCGAAGACGAATGCCCAAAAATGTCCAACACTATCGAACACAACGGTGACAGAAGAAATTAGGGAGGGAGTGGGGTTGTTTGGTTTCTGGTGAAAAACATTGGGTGATTTTTATATGGTATGTTGATTGTGTGCGTATACGAGGCGTAATTGGAGAATTGCCCCGGTATGAGAGAATCGTTGTGGCTGGCGGTGTCACGGCGTTACTGCATTGTCCATTTTCTTTTATTGTGTTCTAAGGCCCATCAATAACAGAGGCATCTTTAGGGGATGGACGAAGGATAAGTTCTATTGAGGAACCAGTGCACTCCGTGTGACCGCATGGAGTGAAGCGCCGCGGCATGGGTGGATGAGGATCCGTTTCCGCGTGTGGCTCTTTGGGTGATTGCTTGCTTCGTGCGTTGTCTGTTGGCTGCGGGGCTGTGGCCGTATCCCGTTGGCCGTGGGACTGAACCGGAGGCGGTGGCGGTGTGTCTCTTCTCTTCCCCTTCCATTGGTGGTTGATTGCTGGCGGTGTGTGCGTTTGTTGTGTGGAGGACCGAATCCTCTCACCCGCGGACTGACAGCACTGCGATGGTGCCTGTGTGTGTGTGTGAGGGCTGGTGTGGAGTCGCCTGCCAGGGTGTGGCCTTTGGCGATGCTTTTCCTGAGACTGGTGTTTTTTTCTTTTGTGTGTTTGTGCTGCTTCTTGCTTTTCCCCCTCTCACCATTTTCTCCTGTGTTCCTGCGTGGAGTGGCCGCATGCTCACGGGCCATGTGGATTGTGAGTGCGTCCTGACGGCATCCATTCATCTCTCTCCGCCTGTCTGTCTTTCGTTCCCTGTTGGGTGTGGCGTGTTGCACCGCGTGAGGGCTGGCCCGCACACACCGACGGCCCGCCGTGACTTGCCGTGTTGCTGCTCTTTTCTGTGGGCGATGGTCCTCCGTGCTGTCCCTTCCGGATTGTCTTATGACTCGCTCTCTGCGTGGGTGCTCTGCTCTGCTCCCCACTGACGTGTCTGGTGTATTGCCGCTGTTGTCGCTGTGCTCTTTTCCACTTCTTGAACACAGACACACTAGGAAGGAAAACAAGCGCGAATCGCTACTGTGAAATTCGAAGGCTCTGAAAGGACCAACAGCACACACACCGCCCACACAAGCAAATATTTGTATGCTCTCACGTGTTGCTGCTGTCAAGGCACTCCGCACACACAACCGTCGCCGCGTGACCGGATCGAGCGGGAGGAGGAGGGAAGGAAGAGAGAGTGAGCAGCAGAGGCCCAACATGTCCCGGCATGTGTTTACTTCTGCTGTGCTGCTCCTCGTCATCGTGACAATGTGCTGCGGCACCTGTGGAGCTGCGGCCGCTGCGGAGAGTAAGTCCGGGGTTCTGCAACTGGCGCAGGAGATCGACGTTTTTGTGCCGAAGAATACGCCGGTGGTGTCAGGAGATGGGACTGGTTTATTTGAAGTGAAGAAAGCATTTGTCTCACCCTCTCTCGTCCGTGCTGGCGGAGTAATGGTTGCCTTTGCTGAAGGCTTGTCCGAGTATAACGCCCATGAACATAACTTGTTTGGGGTTCGGTCTCCCGACATTGTGGCCGGGTACATCAAGGCTGCGGAGACGTGGCCGTCCATTGTCGCTGAGATCACCAAGAAGGAGTGAAGGGCACGCACCGTGCTTTGCAGTAGGCATGGCAATAATTGTTTGCGCGTTTTGCACCGGCCCACAGCAGTTGCGAGGGACAGTAAGGTGTTTCTACTTGTGGGAAGCGATGCTTTAGGATATTACCATGATGTTATGTGGGTGCAAGATGGCTGGGATATTCAACTGGTTGAAGGTGTGGCCACGCAGTCCACGGACGGCGTGCAGAGTACACTGATCAGCTGGGCTAAACCCAAGTCGCTTCCACAACAGATCCCCAAACACACTCAAGATCACCTGAGGGAACTTTTGACTGCTGGTGGCCCAGGCATTTTGATGCAGAATGACACGCTTGTGTTTCCCCTGGTGGCGGCGAAGGGGAAAAATTAACCTTTCTCCATGAGTATTTACTCGACGGACAACGGCAACAACTGGGTGTTCCCAGAGAGCATTTTTTCTGTGGGATGCCTTGATCCCCGCGTCACCGAATGGGAGAGTGGACAAATTCTCATGATTTTTCATTGTGTGGATGCCCAGAGTGTGTTCGAGTCGCGTGACATGGGGAAAACGTGGACGAAGGCTGTCAGAACACTCCCGGGCATTTGGGTCAACGCACCATCAGGATTCCGTTTGGACGAAAGTTTGCGTGTGGATGCCCTCATTACCGCGACCATTGAGAAAAAGAAGGTCATGCTGTGCATTCAGAGAGGGTACGCCTTGGGGGAGAAAAGGGACAAGGCGCTCTACCTTTGGGTGACGGACAACAACCGCACGTTCCATGTTGGGCCGATTTTTGTCGACAGTGCTGCGAATTCGATGCTCGCCAGCGCCCTGCTGCACTCGGATGGTGCGTTGCACCTTTTACAGGAGAGGGCCAATGAAAAAGGCAGTGTCATTTCACTTGCCCGCATGACGGAGGAGCTGAAGACGATCAACTCCGTTCTCAGCACTTGGGCGCAGCTGGATGCCTCCTTTTCCGAGTCTTCCACACCCACGGCAGGTCTGGTTGGATTCCTGCCCGATACGTCGTCCGGCGATGTCACGTGGATCGACGATTACCGTTGCGTGAATGCAAAGGTCATGAATGCGGTGAAGGTCCATGACGGGTTCAAATTCACGGGGTTTGGGTCCGGGACAACATGGCTCGTGAACGGCCGGGAGAGCAATGGGCTGTACAAGTTTGTAAATTGCGATTTCACTCTTGTGGCGACGGTGACCGTCCACGAGGTTCCAAAGAAGAGTAATTTTTTTCTGGGTGCGGGTCTGGGGGACGGTCACGGCGCGAAGATCATTGGGCTGCCGTACAGCATGAATAAAGCGTGGGAGACGGTGTTTGACGGCACAAAGACAGCACAGGACAGCACGTGGGAGCCTGGGAGAGAATACCAGGTGGCGCTGACGCTTCAGGGCGGCAACAAGGGCTCCGTGTACGTGGATGGTGTGATTGTGGGGAGCCCGGAGACGATACCAAAAGTTGGGGCGCGGGAGCTGAAGTCTCATTCCTCTAAATTGGGGAGGCGAGGGGGACATCAACAGCAGCGTGACGGTGACGAACGTCTTTCTTTACAACCGCCCACTGAGTGTCGGTGAAATAAAAACGGTCAAGAAGAGCGACGATAAAAGAGGAAACGATGGCGGCAAAAAAGGGAAAAGGTGACGGCTCCATGCGTGGGGGCGTGTCTCGGGTGCTGCTGTTGCTGTGGTTGTGCGGCTTTGTGGCCCTTTACTGAGGAATCGCAGTGAGGACTTCCTGCTTCCAGCGGGAACATATGCGTCTTTCCACGCACTCTTTCAAAGTAATTGCCACTTTTTGTGAACACTTTGTTTTGACCATTTTATTTTACTTTAGATTCTTTTTTGCTGCGCAGGGCTTTTCCTCCATGTGGAAGCATGCTCTCCCCAGCACCAGCACCGCGGGGTTGTTGTTTGTTTTCTTCTTTCCACCCTGTGTTGTGGTCCTCCGAAAATTACGGGATCTACTGAGTGTTTTTTTTTTTTTTTTGATTGACCAGAGACGCTCCCGGCATTGTGTGCCACGCCGACGGCGCCGGCTAATAAAACAGAGACGATGGAATGGGGGCACGGAACTGCGCCGAGTGTCCCAGTGGAATATAAATAATGTGTGGGCACCGGGTGTTTAAACGAATGGAAGGAGCGTAACGTATTTGTTTATTTCTTATCTGCAGGCGAGACACACACACCGATCTGGAGGCCACGCACCAACGTGCAGTTTTTTTTGTTTTTGAGTGAATGTGTAATGGAAGACGGATTTACCTTTTTTTTTTTTACTTTCCAGCATGTCTCCCGCGGCTTTCCACAGCGTGGGCAGCCGTGCAGTGTTGCGTTTCAGCAGTCATCCTGTTTGTTGTTTTTGTTTGACACTCTTCTGTGGTTGTGTGTCCCCTCAGATGCTTTACTTTTTTTTTTAGTGGTCGTAGGCAAACACACGAGACACTTACACGATATATGTATTGCAGTGTAGTTGGTTGCTCTTCTTGCGCTCTGTGCTGGCAGTTGCGTGTGGCTGCTGCTCCCCCGTTGTGTTGGTGTGAGAGGAGGCGCGCGACGGCATCGGTGGAGAAGGAAGGCACCGACCGCTGCTGACGGTGACGGTCTTTGCAGCAGGCGATCTGAGGGGATGGCGTGACTGGTGTAACCACCAACCGAGATGGATGAGGACCGCACCGCATCTCTCTTCCCTCTCATCATCCTCTCAGTCCACAGCAGCCACAGGCCACACGTACCGTGCGGCAGCGCCGCGACCACCATCCGGACGGCTGCGAGCTAATCGAACTGTGTAATTGATGTGGACCCTTCTTCCCCGTGTCTGCGTACTGCCGCTGTGCTTCTTTATTCTTCATTTCGTCCTTGTGTATGCCGTGCGCGTCTGATTTCGCTGTTTCTTGTGCAGTGCTGAACCATCTGTTACACTAGCAGCGCCAATGGTCATGTTTGTTTTTGCCTGGGCCCCGCTACTTGGCACCGTGGCTGTGTGGGGCTGCGTGGGCGGATGCTTCTGCGTGCCACTGTGTTTGGTTACTGTTGTTGCTGCCTCTGCCTTCTTCTCCTCTGACCGTGCAGTTAGAGCTATTTTGGCTTGATCAGCAGAGTTATCGTTTCAAGGTATTGGTTATTGCTCGCGGCAGTATTAGGACAATTAGTGGTAGTGGTATAGCGATCTATCGGATTTGTGCTTTTGGATTCTCCCTCT